TTATCAGCAGCGAATCTTTCTACTGGACCAAAGTGTAACCAATCTTTTAGTTTTCGTCAGAGGTCAGCCTGGTGCTGATCGTGCGAGAACAAAAAGTTAAATTCTTAATATTCCCTTTAAAAAACACAAACATCCCACTGTCTGTGCTTTGGTTTATCATGATATTAAAGTTAGTCGAAATTTCAAAAAAAAAAGTCTATTATATACACAAACTCTCTAATACACGTACCGTCTTTGCATGGTCTACAGCGGAAGAGGCTGTTCATGGACCCAATTATTACTGTTGTTATCTCACTGAAAAAGTACTTGGAAACTTGAGCTATTCACCCTAATAAATTCTCAAGCAGTTCGCACGAGGAATTACGCAAAGTCCTTTAATCACCAGAACGAACTTTTCCAAGCCGGAAGTCACTTCCATCCGGTAGACATACGTCACTTCCCGAACACTTCCCGTACACAGAACATCCACGCGTTTACCGTAACAATTCGAACGAAGATCCCATAGCGCAGCCACCTCGACTACGCAGCTCTGACTATTCGATTGCCCCAGTGGCTTATCAACGTTTGCGTAATTAGTATCGATTAGATAATACACAAACAGAAATACGCGTTAGCCAATTAAATCAAGAAGATCAAACTATATCATTGGCAGCAGCAGGAAGGAAGGTGTTTCAGATCCAAAAAATCTACTGTATACCCGTAATTAAAAATTATACAAGATAACGGATTACGTCGATGAGCAAATTAATTTTCAATTACAATATTTATAATTTTGTTATTTTTTTCTTCAGTGTCACACGTATACCGGATATGCCGGATCACGTTTTTTTTTTTTTAATTTTCCTCAATTTCTCCACTTTATCCCATCAACGTGTTTCTTGTAGAAAAATAGTAAAAAGTTGGGATTTCACCGAAACCAAGCAGCCATCCACGTCACGGGTGCCCGGTGGACTGGCTGTTCCACAGAAGGTGATACTGTTTACAGTGAACAGGAACATGTCGTAGTAGTAGGCACCGCACCTTGCCTGGCTTCCGTCAACCCGTTCGTCGCACTATCACAGGCATTCGTATATCTATATATATATACCACTATGTAAATACAGTACATGAAACACATATATATATATATATATATATATATATATTGATAAAGTTACACGCGAGGCTCACATGACCATCCCCTTGTTCTAGGGGGTAGAGAATACATAGGACACTAGGGGTAGTCTTTGCCCTGTGACCGCTCGACCGGTAATGATGGCATGTCGCACCCTGGTGCTCTACTACCCTCGAAAATTCCACGCTCGATACCGCCCCTATACGTGAACATAGGATGAGAGAAATAGAAGAAAAAAAAAGGAAATTTTCATTTCACCACTTTTTCTTTTCCTACCCCCCACTTCTCCGTAGTACATAAGCGTGACGCAACAGGAAAATCGTCGGAGAGGTAAAAAGGATTTAAATAGCAGAATCGCTGAATTTAAAGCCGCGAAGCGATTTTGCGTTTCCGCAAAGCCATCCGTCGCAATGGAAAAACCGTGTTTTCCTTTTTTTTTCTACTTCCTCACGAGGGACAATAAAAGTTTCATGCACGTCTTAGTGTCCCGAGGCACCGACTGACGGCGTCTGCACCGGCGGGAAGGTCTCGGGCTTCGGGCGCCGAATATAACGTCTAACGTGCCAAGAGGGCACAAACCGCGCACAGAATTTCTGGGTAATTTTAGACGGGACCAACTAGTCTATATAGATATAGTTTTCGCCTGTTAAATGGTCTCCAGCTACGAGCGCCTCGCGTCCCAGTGTGCCATTGTCAAATTATCTTCAATTTTCGAAATTCCTCAGCAGTTTTTCATACGTGTATAATGTATATATATATATATATATATGATTCTGATACCGGGGAAATCCATGTGATACGATTATCTGGACTCTAGTCACTGGCTTAAGATCCTCGGGCTACTGCTTCATTATCGAAGAAACCTGCCAGGAAACGTGATCAGACTTCAACCGGAAGACCGGAGCGATAGGCTTCCCGGAAGGGCTGAGGAAGAAAAACAGAGAAAAGAATAAAATGGCGGCTGGCATCTCTTGGGAACTGATATTGCGGTGTAAATGGGAATAGGATTAGCTTCTGAAGAACCTTCGACAATGCCTGATCGAATCGAGCGAAAAACCCCATAAGAATATAAAGGAAAATCACCTGTATGGATAAATGACGTCATATTGCACTCGTATCAATGAAAATATACTGTGACGTCAATGGGGTTGCGATCCTCTTTATAGGACCACGTGGGATAACTTGCGAGGTCGTCTTTGAGTCTCCAATTGCGGTGTAAATGGGAATAGGATTAGCTTCTGAAGAACCTTCGACAATGCCTGATCGAATCGAGCGAAAAACCCCATAAGAATATAAAGGAAAATCACCTGTATGGATAAATGACGTCATATTGCACTCGTATCAATGAAAATATACTGTGACGTCAATGGGGTTGCGATCCTCTTTATAGGACCACGTGGGATAACTTGCGAGGTCGTCTTTGAGTCTCCATCTCTCTCTCTCTCTCTCTCTCTCTCTCTCTCTCTCTCTCTCTGTCTTGGCCTCTGCAATATTTATCCACTTCACCTTATTATCTTGCTTTGGATTATTTATCTCGCTGAAGCTTTAAACGAGCCAAGAATTCTCACTGGACAGGTGAGATGGACAGGTTCATATGAGAAACACAGAATTCACTAGGGAAATGATGTTCTTATATTTTTCTCATGTTTTCCTCATTTTTTAATTAAGCTTTTCTTGCCCTGCTCGCCGTTCTCCACACAGAAGTAAATTGCATCGAAGCGAGGATAAAGTGAACGTTGGGTATTGAATTCGGCAATAATCCCTATACTAGAGGAGATGGCCGATACACACTGGTGTAACTAGAATTCTTCATTCTTTCCCTATGTGACTCATTCGCGCGTGACGGAAGCACTGGACGTCGTTTCTGTTTATTATTGCAGCTGATTAATTAACCTTTCAATTATTTGTGGGGGACCCTTTAATGGAGAACGATGAAAATTAATTGGGAAACTGATTGGAGCCTGTATGTATATGCATGTATAAACTGTATAGGCGTATTTGACACGGGTCACGTGACGTGCAAATTTTAAGCTACCACTCACACCGGCGATCCTATACGTTTCCTGGGCAACTTCGAATTCCAATGGTAAAACAGATTTGTACACTGTCGGATGAGGAATACACATGGAGACTAAGATTCCGTGATAGCGGATACCCCTAGGGGAAAAAAAATAACACCCAGAGTCCTGAAAGCAATGTCGGCAACTCTCAGGGGACAAAAGAGTATCTCGTAACCGATAACGCTTCAACTTCCCACTTCATTTTTATCATTACACGCAATTCACTTTTTACGTCAATTTTTTTATCTTCTCCTCCCCCGCCCCCTCGTGCCGCGCTAATTCATTATCTAACGCTAGGGGAAAAAAAGGGCGAGTTTCTAGTGAATTTCCTGACCTCTCCCTTACTCCATACTGGCATGTATACAATCTTTCATGTGAATCTTTGCCACTAGTGGATGAATTAGAACTCTAATAGATTTAGCTGTTTAACCACGGCACACCTGCTGTTTCGAGAAGCATCTAGTTACCGAAGAGCAAAGCTGATTTGCACGTAGTGACGTATGCGGATGGCACGTTCCGCTTGTTATTTTTTTATTTTTAAAGCAAACGTCCACCCGTAATTGCTCGAGCACGCAGAACCGTTTGATACGCGTGAAAACACATGTGTGACATAACTTTGCTCGTAGGACTTCGTATGTATATGAAGAAAAATATCGATCGGAGAACTGGAGTGACAGGGCGTCATGACTCACGGCGTCGTAATCATGGCCAAAATGAATTGATAAATTGGCTGGGTTTATCTCAACATTTTCAAGGTCTTATCAACGCCTGTGTTACCGTTAAGTATCAGCTGCACGTGGACTTACCGGGAGTACCGAAAGTTCCTGCTATTAAATATTATATTTGTTTTACTATTGTATATGTATATGCTGTACAAGTGTATATATCCAGAATGATGTTTTTTTTGGCAAATCTTTTATATTTTACTTAACACATTACGGACGGATTATGAGAATCTGCAGATTCGTATTTTCACCTCTAGATGACGATGAGATGTATCGTATTTTTTTAATTATCTAAAAATATAATTGACCACTGGGTATAATTAGCAATAAAATGTCTGGTTCGCCGATGTTAATAATTATATTTTCCTTTAAATTTATTGATGGATACTAGCAGTAGTCAAAATAGTCCCAGCTGGAGTTTATTAATTACTAACGCGTTGTCGAAGCCAAACGTGGAAAACACGTGGTATGCGTTAAACGTCAAAACAAAGACACGTGCTCGTGGCTTTGTTTGTATTGGGTGTAAGATGAACGGAGAACGATAGGTCTTTTATTTTCAATAGAAATATTATCCATCCATGTTGTGACGTTTATTCGTCCATTCTTCTTTGACAAAGTCAATCAATGACTGAAGTGCTGGGTTCTCTCGGAAGATAACACGAGTTCAGAGAGAATTATGAAACGGAGTATCTGTATTGAATATCGGTGTACATTTTCGCGGATAATGGAGGCTGAGTCGGAAGGTTGATCGATCGTGAGATAATGGCCAAGAACAGAATTGGAGGAGGTTAAGTTTCGCCTCGACCTTTCTTACAGATATTATAATCGACAGATACAAAGTTTTCAAGGTCATCCCCTATCCAGGACAACCTTACCTAATACACTAAAAGTCCTTTTCCAATATCTTAAATAAAACTAAGAGAATCAGTAGTGTGGCGATAAAAACGAAAAAAATGAGAATTCCACCTTATTGACATAGAACACTGTAAGAAGGCGTATTTTCAATAGAAATTTTCGTTAGCCACGGAATTGGCAATTCGAGTCAATAGTTTTGTATTCACATAATATTTGCTTAAGAATCAGAGTCTGCTAATTGGGAGGTGTGATTCAAAAATCATTTCTCCTTAATATTCACGAAAAATTAGCACGTGCCAAAATTCCAATTAGCACAGATTTTTCGGACGAAATTCCGGTTCCGCGTGGTACCTATATAAGACCGAGATATATTCAGATGGTCCAGTAGAATATTTTGCATCGAACTATTAAATTGGCAAGAACTTTGCAGATATGAAAAAGTCATTGGTCATCTTGGTGCTGGTACTCATTGGCATCGTGGCTTCGGTACCGATTCCAGAGACCCAAAATGGTAAGTTTCGATATTTAATTTTTAAACTAATTGAAAGAAAAAATTTTGTAAAACCACATAACGAATAACATGGGAAAAATCTATGCCACTTCAGACGTCTCATTTACCCTGTATATCTTTTCCCAATTCCCAGATCCGATGTGAATTTCTTCTTATTATTATACAGGACAAGAATTATTGGCTGGGCAAGACACGCGTTACTATGGATTCCCATTCTTTTGGTTTGGTAGACCTGTAAACGATGACGGCGATGATGATTACACGGGCAATGGCGGTCAGTACCACGCTGAAAATCGTCATCGTTCATCCACTGTCTCTTACGTGGAAGTAGGGTAAGTAAAAAACAAATTAATCAAAATTTTAATCCACCGTCAAAGTATTCGTGGCGATAAAAAATTGGTCTCCTATTTTTTTACAGTGGAGGTTGGGGACGTTAAAGCTCGATACGGTCCTGGATTGGATAACGACGACCGTAATGCATCATGGGAATAGAAGCATGACAATCTACGTGACAAATGAAACATTAAGCCTAATTTTACATGTAATCCAAGCGAAAGTATAATTCTGCTAATTATTAAATTAAGAAGTTGACTAAGCAAAGGCAGAAAATTCTGATTGCGACTGTTGTGTAATATTTTTTCGAATAACTAATTTCTTTAATAAACATATCCAAGGATAAGCAATTGCCAATAAATTCGATCCGAGTCTCTGGAAGTTTCGAAAAATTCGTAAAGAGTTTCTCCTCGAAGATTCTTTACGCGGATTAGCACGAATCTTAGAAAGCCCGTTATATATTATGGGCAACTTGTTCGGTACAAAAGCACGGGCAAACGTTCTAACGAGACGTTAACGACACGTGTCAATTTCTGTCGTAAGTCGCCATATCTATATAAGCTGCTCGAGGCGACTTTCCATCAGACGTCGAAGTGAGCTCGTGAACGGAAAAACAAGACGAGCGTAATCGTTGCGTGAGAATATAAATATATAAAGAAAAAAAAAAAAGAAAAAAAAAATGAAAATAAATAATTATCCGTGGGTCTTCCTGATTGCCATCCTGGTGAGCACTGGCCATGCTGCACCCATAAAGGATATTTTTCCAGGTAAGATCCAGCGTAAGTTTATCCTGGCGTTAAGGTGACGTCGCAGTCTAAGAAATCCGTTGCACAAATTTCAGGACAGGAAGCCGAGGTGATAAGTAACGTTCTGGTTCGTCGTTTCTATGGTCCTTGGAATAATATTCCAAAGGCTAACGGAGAGTTCAGTGACTACGGGGACTATGGAGTACGCGTTCACGACTATCAGCCAAGTGCGGAGGACGAAGGTCCTGCCGCCGACTTCCCCTCGAATTATGGACTCGCTGGAGTCCAACCGGACACGGGATACGACCCCAGTCAATCGGGAGCTGAATCCTTTGGCACAGGCGAGGCTCAAGGAACCGGTCAGGAGACTTCCGGTAACGTCGGTCAGTACAGTCAGCCAGATGAGACCAGCAACGGGTACGGGGTCGCTCCTTACGGGGGCGAAGGGTATAACCAGGAAGAAGCTCAAGGAAACGTACATTGGACGTCTGCCTAAGTGTGTACGAAGATTTAAAAAATTTATTATTTACATCTTTGTTATAACCTATTATCATTTATATTCATTTTATTATAGAATAAATTTTATTCTTTAATTCGGGAATAGTCGTTTACTTTTTAATTAGGATAAATATATATCCTGAAGAGGAAGGGGAAAAAGAAACAATTTTCGCATTTCCAAGCGTTGTGGATCTGCGTAATTGTATTCGACTGATGAGAACGAAACGGGCAAAAAGTAAGATTGCGGTGGTTGCCGGGGGGGACAGTGGGGAGAAATTGGGGAAATTAAAGAAAGAGGCATCCGAAGGACGAGCCGGAATTTAATGGATGGAGAGATGCTCCATTTAACCATTTATCCTTCAGACATGAAATCTCGCAGAAAAACGCTGACAGGTTCATTGTATATGTATATGTTGTGACGTGATCTTTCGATTCACGGTCACAAGGCGAGTACGGCTACCGATTCCGATAACGTTCTCGATTTCTGGTTCGCTTCGGGTCGCCATCCTGCTCAGAAGCTGCGCTCTCGGGTTAATTCGCATAGTTACGCCACTGCTCTCGGAAGATTTCGTTATCGTCTAGTTGAGGTCGAGGTGCTCGAATCTGCCGTGGGGAGATAGTCTCGACGTACCGAGTTGCCGGGCAGAGGAGACGACCCGACGGAGACGTCTTCATGGACCGGCAGAAGCCCGGGTGAGATGCAGGCGCCCCGCTGGAGATGGGCAAAAGGCTGCGGAGCGGGTGGAGATATAGTTTTGACATGGTTGAGAGCAGGGAGGAACCCCCTGATCCGAGTTAAGGATGCTGTGCCCAGCTGTCGCCCGATGACCTGGGGAAGCGGCCGTGGAGGATTTCCAAAAGTCACGTACCGATGCGCTAAGGAACACTCTCGATTTGGTTCAAAGGGACCAATCGAGGGAGATGAAAGATTTATCGGCTATAAGGATCTCGACCAATCAGATGATCGGAATTATTAGTTCTCGCATTTGGCTATTTTGTCAAAGCAGTCTGTCTCGGGACACCGACCGAGGTGTCACGAGCTGCCTCGCGCTCCCGTGCTATTTGTTTATACTTTTTCTAGCCGTGTTCCGCTACGGTATACCAAGTTCACGCTCGTGTAGTTCTCGCGTTGCTCTCGCGATATCCAGGCAATTCAATGGATTTCCTGTGAGTGTTCCAGAGGTGTAGTGACGTGCCCCAGTGCAGTGACCACCCGAGTGTCTCCCGGATGCAGTTCTCGGCCTCCACGGATCGGCTCCATCAGCTCTGGTGAGTCTCCCAATTTATTAATTGGTGAAGGGACTTCGATTTGACACTTCCGATTCGTCGCTCTCTCAGTGGCCGCGCATTTCCGTTCGTGCATCCAGTTGCGTTTGCTGATTTTACGCGACCCCAAGAATCGACAGGATCCGTTAAGTTGTCGCATTGTCCGATAGGTTCCATCGGAGCTCCCGTTTTGGCGGAATTGGGTCTGACCCCCACTCCCAGGTCATGCCGGCTCGTTCCCGATAAAAAAGAAGAATTGACGGTAACGTAGGTTGCTTCTCGGATTTTTCGTTATCGTTGTCGAGTTAAGTAAGATACGTTACGATATACGTGTACTCAGGATTCTTTGGCTTCTTGAGATACTCCCTATTGACCTAGTACTAACCCACTCATCCCTAAGGAATTTCAAAGGAATGACACTAGGGACACTTCCCTCCCCTTTGCCACCCCTTCAGCCACATCCGAGGATCCAGTCAGCAGTGCCAGTAGTAAAGTTCAAACTTTGCTTGACCATCCTACTTTTCATTATCTTTGTCCCTCTGTACAGACAAGTCCAAAAATATTTCTTTTCGGTAAAGTACAAATTCCCTAGATTCTTTTCCACGTCCAGTCAATAGGAATTAATCGGAAGTCAATAAACGGCCGTAGATCCGCAATAAAGATAGGAGACTCCGACCTTGTCTAAACAGCTATAAGATCCAATAGAGTACCCGCAATCATTTACTGACCTCTGAACCCAAGGCGTCTCTTAGATTGTCCCGTGTACATCCATATCGTATCCATTGTGCATCCTTCGAGACTCCCTGCCCTGGATGGAGCAGTGACACGCCGAAAATTGGATTTTGCGAGGATTCTACCTAAATGCCCAAACAGTCTTCCTCGTTACTGGCAACGTATCAGGGTGCATCCTCATGTAACTGCACCCCCAGAGAGTCTGGCATTGTCGACCAACGGGTGTTCGACGATGATTTTCCCGTTCAGGTTGACAAGCCAAACCAACGGCATACGCGTTGAATATTCATTCGGCGATTCGCGCTCTGATTAAATGGAAATTCAATTTATTTTCGGTCGGTTTAGCCAGAGGCTAACTGTACTGTAGTACGTATGTACACTGTTAATTATACGGTACCGTAGTATTCGCGTAATTTGATGAACTATCGTTTATAAAGGTAGTCGACCCTGTATAAGAAAAAAAAAAAAAAAAAAAAA